GACAAGTTAATGAAAGGTAGACTTGTGATGGTTAATTATAGATATTAACTTTTTAAAAAATATTTATTCATTTGAAGGGCAGAGTTACAGAGAAAGAGGTCTTTCATCTGCTGGTATACTTCTCAAATGGCCCAAGGCCAGGGCTGGGCCAGCATGAAGCCAGGAGCCCAGAACTCCCTCTAGGTCTCCCATGTGGGCGGCAGGAGCCCAAGAATTTGGGACATTCTTTGCCACTTTCGCAAATAGTAGGGAGCAGGATCAGAAGCGAAGCAGCTGGGATTCAAATTGGTGTCCTTATGGGACGCCAGCATCGCAGGCTGTGACCCTGTGTGCTGCTGTGCCATAGCACCGCCCCCTAGATATCAACTTGACCTCACTGAGGAATATCTAGAATCCTGGAAAAGCATTATTTTAGGTGTGTTTATAAGGGTGTTTTAAAATGTGATTTCAATAAGAGTGGGAATAAGAGAGGGAAGAGATGTACAATTTGGGACATGCTCAAGCTGACTTGCCCCAAACGGTAGAATTAGAAACATACCAGGGGATTCCAAATCAATCCCATCAAGGTGGCATGTACCAATGCCATCTCACTAGTCCAGGTGATCAATTTCTGCTCACAATTGATCATAATGAAAGGACTAAGAGTCAAAGGGATCACATGAACAAGTCTAGTGCCTGCTAATACTAACCAATAGAATAAATAAAGGGGAGAGCAATCCAACATGGGAAGCGACATACACAGCAGACTCATAGAATGGCAGATGTCCTAAACAGCACTCTGGCCTCAGAATCAGCCCTAAAGGCATGCAGATCTGGCTGAAAAGCCCATGAGAGTATTTCAGGCATGGAAAGCCAAGACACTCTGGCAAAAAAATAAAAAATAAAAAACAACAACAACAACAACCCAAACCTAAATGAAAGATCTCTGTGACTGAGATCCCAGTGGAAAGAACAGGTTATCAAAGAAGGAGGTACCTTTCTCTGAAGGGAGGAGAGAACTTCCACTTTGACTATGACCTTGTCTAAATAAGATAAGAGTCGGTGAACTCAAAAGGCTTCCATAGCCTTGGCAACTCATGACTGGAGCATAGGGAGATTACTGATGCCATAAACAGGAGTGTCAATTTGTAAAGTCAACAACAGGAGTCACTGTACACTTACTCCTCATGTAGGATCTTTGTCCTTAATGTGCTGTACATTGTGATTTAATGCTATAACGAGTACTCAAACAGTATTTTTCACTTTGTGTTTCTATGTGGGTGCAAACTGTTGAAATCTTTACTTAATGTATACTAAACTGATCTGCTGTATATAAAGAAAATTGAAAATGAATCTTGATGTGAATGGAAGGGGAGAGAGAGTAGAAAGGGGAGGGTTGCGGGTGGGAGGGAAGTCATTGGGGGGGGGAGGAAGCCAATGTAATCCATAAGCTGTACTTTGGAAATCTATATTCATTAAATAAAAGTTAAAAAGAAGAAAAAAAGAGAGAGAGAAAAAAGAGAAAGTGTCAAAAATCACACTTTTTTTGTTTTTGACAGGCAGAGTGGATAGTGAGGGAGACAGAAAGAAAGGTCTCCCATGTGGGTGCAGGGCCCAGGCACCTGGGCCATCCTCCGCTGCACTCCCAGGCCGCGGCAGAGAGCTGGACTGGAAGAGGAGCGACTGGGACAGAATCCGGCGCCCTGACCAGGACTAGAACCCAGTGTGCTGGCGCCACAGGTGGAGGATTAGCCTATTGAGCCACACATATTTTTATTTAAATAACCAGGTTAGAAAATTGTAGAAAAGGACGAGTATGTATGCTTGCTTGATTGTTCCGAGTAGAGTTCAGCTTGAAATTACAGTCAGTTTCTGGTGTTTTTGAGAAAGTCATTAAAGTAGTATCAAGGTAGGCAATCAGACAAACTAATGTGGAACACATAATAGAAATCAGAAATCTGAATGAGAGGCTGATTACAACAGAACTAAAGCCATGGGTATGGATGAGAGTCCTTTGGCAAGAGTACAGCAAAAGAAAGAATAAATGTTCAAGACATGGAGCCTTAAGACAACCAAGACTTCCTACTTTCTACTAAAGAAGAAAGAGTTTGACTAAAGCAGAGAAGAAATGGCCAAAGATTAGAAGAGGAATAAAAGTGTGTAGTGTTGAAGAGACAGAAAGAGAAGTGATGAAAAGAGGGGATAAAATATAGACTAATATTAGATGATCAAGTTTCAAAAGAGCTGAGAAATGATCTTGATTGGGCAATGAAAGATCACTAGTGACTTTTCAGAAAAAGTGGCTGATTCAAATGCCATTTACTTAGCAAGCAAAACCTTTTTAAAACATATGAAGGGTCTTCATACAGTTCATGGGAATGTATATTATGAAAAACTATGCATTGGGGCCAGCGCCGTGGAACAGTAGGTTAATCCTCCACCTGCAGCGCCAGCATCCCACAGGGGTGCTCTTTCAAATTCCCAGCTGCTCCTCTTCCGATCTAGCTCTCTGCTGTGGCCTGGGAAGGCAGCGGAGGATGGCCTGAGCGCTTGGGCCCCTGCACCTTCATGGGATACCTGGAAGAAGCTCCTGGCTTCTGACTTTGGATCAGCCCAGCTCTGGCTGTTGCGGCCACTTGGGGAGTGAACCAGTGGATGGAAGACCTTTCTCTCTGTCTCACCCTCTCACTGGCTATAATTCTATCTTCTACCACTCAAATAAATAAATAAAATCTTTTAAAAAATGTGATTTCATGCGAGTCTGAGTGAATTTGGGTTGTAGGGGCATAGACCCAGCCTCCATGTGTGCAGGAACCATCAATTAGCTGCTGCATGTCCAGCAAGAGTAAACAGAAGGTGAAGGTAAACCAGTCTATGGTTCAGAGAACTAGAATGTTCTCATCTCCTGTCCTGGATATCAGAACTCCAGGACTCACACCAGCAACCCCCTTATGGGTACTCAGGCTTTTGTTTTTTTCCTTCTTTCCTTTTTTTTTTTTTTATTTGAAAGGCAGAGTTACAGAGAGATTTTCCATCTGCCTGTTCACTCCCCAAATGGCTGTAATGGCTGGGGCTGGGAGCCCACAACTCTATTTGGGTCTGGAAGCAGAGCAGCCAGGACTTGAACTGGTGCCCATATAGGATGCCAGAGGTTCAGGTAGCAGCTTAACCTGCAGAACAACATCAGCCCCAAGGCTTTGGGTTTTAAAAAGTAATACCCTTAGCCTGCCTGGTTCTGAGGCCTTCGGACTTGGACTGAGCCACAGTCTGGTGTCTCCAGCCTGCAAGTGACTTGTCATGGCAATTCTCAACAGCCATAATTGCATGAGTCAATTTTCATGCATTCATCCATATATATGTCCTATCAATTCCATCTCTAATTAATACACTTAGCCACAATTCACCTAATGCATGTTAGTTTAGGATTTTTGGTTTGAAGAAGGTGCAGAGATGACCAGCTAACGCGAAAGAGATTTCTTTCTAGGAGAGACAGAATAGTGGGGTCTGAAGTGAGGTTATCAGCTTGCCAGATGGCGGGTGGTGGTCTCATGTGGGCACGAAGGATGATACACCAACCCTGATAAGGTGGGCTTGGGGCATGCAGAAAGGTCCATTGGCACTTGTTGACCAAACTTTCTTAATTGCAATGTATTGTCTTTGCAGTTTGGAATGTCCCAGGTGAGAACCTTGTAAAAGCCAATGCCTGGGCAGCTGAACACCCAGCAATACAAAAGTCCACTGTTTTAGATTATCTATTTGTGCCCAATTTAATTGGTTTGGGATTAACTATTTGTGCCCAATGGCCTAACAGGTCATGACAATAAGATATTGAGAACCAACTGCAGGAAAATAATAAGTGAAAACAATGCTGCTAATGAGAGGGCAGGCAAGTAATTTAGGCAGTAATCAGCTCTAGACATACACGGGGAAAAAACAAACTACATAAACTTAGCAGGAACTTTGTACTAGATTTAAAATCCAGGGTTTGCAGTCAGAGCAATACCGTTTGGCTAGGAGTCTCTACCTCTAGGGAGACACGGTCAGAGAAAAATTTACTCAGCAAAACACAGGTATATATAATCAAGAGTATTTAAATTGCCATCAACGAGACCAACTCATCTGTCTCCTAGTCATTCTCCTACACAGCATGTGTTTGGCCTCACTGCCATGAATTTCTCAATTTCCAAGCACCTAATCTCCATGCTATTATATTTAATAAGGAAATGGCATTGAGAGAGGAGCGAAAAGCTGCCAAGGCCTTTATATTTCCTACTCTTAATCTGAATTACCTTGGGACCAGGTTTTCTGTATATTAAGTCACCAGATGTTACTCCCTGTTGGCATAAAAATATCTTAAATCTTAAAATGGAATACAAATTTCTGTCTTCCTAGAGAACACACAGGAGCATTCAAAAACAGAAAACACTTGTCTTAGTCCATTTGGGCTGCTGTAGCAGAACACCTGAGACTGGGTAATGTATAAACAACAAGCGCATGTAGCTCACGGATCTGGAGGCTGGGAAGCCGAGATCCAGGTGCAGCAGATTTGTTGTCTGGTGAGAGATTGTTCCTCACCAAGGGCACCTGCTATGCATCCCCAACGAGCAAAAGAGGCAAACAGTCTCTCTGGTGTCTTTTGTAAGGGTACTAATCTTACTTACGAGAGCTTTGCCTCGAACTAACAGCTGTCCAGAGGCCCCGCTCCAGTTTTAACATAATGATGGGGTGTGATGGTAGATAATAGTAATATTTAAGTAGAATTCCATAAAATCAACCTAATTTGATAATACAATTCATGTGGGCAATGAATGTATTAATTTCAAATCCAGCTTCTTGCCTCCTGTAGAAAGAGAAACAGTAAGTACAGACTGGTATCATGTGCAAACAGGAACCACATGTACTTAGCAGTGAGGGAATAAACACACATTCAAGTGCAAGTGTGGGCCGTCCCACACAGAAATAACCATTAGAGTGGGCCAAAGAGTTGCCCGTATACGAAAGAAAACAATGGAGAAATGTACCTCTAGGCAAGAGCTGGAGAGGTCCGTGCAACCCAGACTGATCCGTGGAGAGAAAATGAGAGCGGTATACCTGAGTGCCTCTCTAGGTGGGAAAAAACCTCTTCTCTGGCTTCCTCCTCCTCTTATGGGGAAGCGGAAGGTCTCTGAATCTCACACACAGGGTTGGGTCTGAGCATGCGTCCTGATCCCATATGCCACAGGTGCATTCTGGGAAGATGGCGTATGAAGCTGACAATTAAAGAGATAGGGTTACACAGCAGGAGTACAAGAGTTTCAGATCATGTAAACTTTAATTGCCTAGTTACACCATATCAAAATGGCCAAAAAATGCAAAGACAAGTCTTGGGAAGGTTTGCCTTTAAGTCTCACTTGACTATATCCCTGGACACTGCTTATCTTGTATTTGAATGGCACTGTTGTTAGATTCCAAGTTTTTGGCCGGCGCTGCGGCTCACTAGGCTAATCCTCCGCCTGCGGCACCGGCACCCCAGGTTCTAGTCCCAGTTGGGGCGCTGGATTCTGTCCCGGTTGCTCCTCTTCCAGTCCAGCTCTCTGCTATGGCCTGGGAAAGCAGAGGAGGATGGCCCAGGTCCTTGGGCCCTGCACCCGCATGGGAGACCAGGAGGAAGCACCTGGCTCCTGGCTTCGGATCAGCACAGCTCCGGTCATTGTCATCATCTGGGGAGTGAACCAGCAGATGGAAGACCCCTTCTCTCTCTCTCTCTGCCTCTGCCTCTCTGTAATTCTGCCTTTCAAATAAATAAATCTTTAAAAAAAAACTTTTAAAAATATAAAGGTCTTTAATAAATATAGGTATTTGTTACTATTCTATCTCAACCATTAAAAGTCAATTTAGGGGGCTGGTGTTGTGGTGCAGTGGGTGAAGCTGCTGCCTGTGATGTCAGCATCTCATATGAACACAAGTTCCAGTCCCAGCTGCTCCACTTCTGATCTAGCTCCCTGTAAATATGCCTGGGAAAGCAGCAGAATATGTATGGCCCAAGTGCCTGGGCCCCTGCAATGCACATGGGAGACCTGAATGGAGTTCAAGGCTCCTTCCTTCAGCCTGGCACAGACATGGCTGTTGCAGCCATCTGGATAGTGAACAGTGGATAGAAGACCTCTCTGTGTCTCTCCTCTCTTTGTGACTCTGCCTCTCAAATAAATAAATATATATATATTTTTAAAAGCCAATTAAGGTAGCATACATAACTGAATAAGCATTAAGAATCATCAAACACTTCAAAAACATTGGTTGTAAGAGGTTAGATGGATTTATTTTTGGAACACTGTTTATGTTTTATAAGCACTAACATAAGATACCCCAACCATATTTACTATAATGTATTTGTTATGATTTAGATAATAGTTTGGATGTCCACTGGAGGCGCATGTATTAGGGGCTAAATCTCCACAGTTTTATGTTAATTGTTAATTGACTAACGGTGAAAGATGACCTTTACGATGTCTAGGAGCCAGGCTTAATGTAAGGGCTTTAGATTACGGGGGACTTGTCCTTGGAAGATTGTTCTCAAGAGAACAGGGTTGGCCAGCGCCGCGGCTCACTAGGCTAATCCTCTGCCTGTAGCGCCGGCACCCAGGGTTCTAGTCCCGGTTGGGGCGCCAGATTCTGTCCTGGTTGCTCCTCTTCCAGTCCAGCTCTCTGCTGTGGCCCAGGAAGGCAGTGGAGGATGTCCAAGTGCTTGGGCCCTGCACCCACAGGGGAGACCAGGAGGAAGCACCTGGCTCCTGGCTTCAGATCAGCACTGTGTACCAGCTGCAGCGGCCATTTAGGGGGTGAACCAATGGAAGGAAGACCTTTCTCTCTCTCTCTCTCTCTCTCTCTCTCTCTCTCACTGTCTAACTGCCTATGAGAGAGAGAGAGAGAGAGAGAGAGAGAGAGAGAAAGCAGGCTTATATAAGCAGTTTGGCCTTGCCTCCTTTATTTCCTGGCTCACTTCGTGGTCCTTCCTCCGTACGTGTCTGGCCACTGCCAGTCTTGATCAGACACCAGAGTGATAGGACTGCCCCAACCTGGACTGTTAAATGCCAAAGTATGTTCTAAAAATAAACCTTCTTTTTAAATAGCTTCTCTCAGGTATTTTGAAGTAATGAAAAGCTAATACAACATTCTCATTGCAAATTTATATTTATGCTACATTTAGTTATGCTCCAATACTGTCACAATTAATTTTGCTTTTTTTTTAGAGACTTATTTTTTGTTTATTTGAAAGGCAGAGTTACAGAGAGAGGAGGAGAGAGGAGAGAGAGAGAGAGAGAGATTGATTCCATCCACTGGTTTATTCCCTGAAAGGGCTAGGCCAGAAGCCTAGAGCTTCTTCTGAGTCTCCCATGTGGGTGTAGGGGCCCAAGCGCTTGGGCCATCTTCTACTGCTTTCCCAGGCATATTATCACAGAGGTGGATTGGAAGTGGAGCAGCCGGGACTCGAACTGGTGCCCATATGTGTGCACTATAGGTGGAGGCTTAACCTACTACACCACAGTGCCAGCCCCACAATTAATTTTTCAGAGATTTTCATTTCTCCAACATTCCCAAGAAGTTCGCAAGTTATAACTAGGCTCTCTTAGCAGACATATTCAGGTTGTTCTAAAAATTAAAACCAACACTCTTGATTTTGAATTCTCTGATAACTACAAGGCCATTACAAAGAAGAAACACAAGGTCACATTCTTCTTGTATGTTGAGATAGAGGGCATCAAAAATAGCCCCAAGAATGTGGAGTGGTTTTGTCAAAAGTTCAACGGACTATCAGGCATTCAACTTTCCTTATGAAACTGACAAGTCTGGTTATTTATATTTTAAACTTTGGGGCGGGGGGTGTTGGTGGTGGTATGGGTTGCCTGGTCTCAAGATATTCCCAGGAGTTCAGGTACTTTAGAAACCCTTGCCTGGGAGCTGGTAATACCAGAGGACTTTGTTGTGTGCACCAATTAGCACGTTCCGTCTGCCTAGGAGACTAAAGGCCTGACATCTCCATGTTTTCTGTCCTACCTCCTGGAGTAAGCCAGGGCAGGTCCTCCTGTTGGCTCTGCCTTTGGGCAGAGTCTATACGCCCCTGTGGATGTGACTGGTTTTAGCAATTTCTCTTCTTGGCTGTATGTTTCCCCCTCTCATTCTGCTGCTTAGCTTTTTCCCTCACCAGAGAGCTGGGAATACAGCCTCTGTTCCTTGTCCTCTCTAATTATGTGGGGGTGGAGACGGGACAGACCCTAAAGCCTTCAGAGGTCTGTTTCTTTCCTTTTTTTTTTTTTAATTAAAGATTTTGTTTATTTATTTGAAAGGCAGAGTTACAGAGAGAGAGAGAAGGAGACACACACACAATCTTCCATCCACTGGTTCACTTCCCAAATGGCCACAATGCCTGGGGCTGGGATAGACCAAAGCCAGGAGCCAGGAGCTTCATCTGGGTCTCCCACGTGGGTGCAAGGGCCCCAAGTAGTTAGACTCTCCTCCGCTGCTTTCCTGGGTGCACTAGCAGGAAGCTGGATCAGAATGGGAATGCCAGCACTGCAGGTGGTAGCTTAACTACTGGGCCACATTGCCAGTTCCTCATCTCCCACTTTAAATAAATCCTGTTTTTATTTATCACCTTATTTATGCCTCTGCTTAACTTCTTATCTCACATGGGGGCAAAGACTTGGGAATAAAACCTGGGAAACTCAACACCTTGTTAATGAACAACAACAAAAAATGGTTTTCCTCCCTCTTTAGTAATAGTTATTTAACATCCTTTCAATGAGGAAGGGGAAGTTATTCTCAGATTCCAACACCTTGCCTTTCCCATTTCTAAAACCACAGAATCCGTAGACACAGGACAAGCTCTCAAGCTAATGTAAACCATTGTACTACTTTTTGCTCCTTCAAGACTTAAAAAATTAATGATTTCAAGCCATATGCTTAACCTCTCCTACTTATCTCAACCTAGGAAACTAATCTGTACTTGAGCAAAATTATATATGTAATAGTGTTAAATAAAATCTATAGGAGGCAGCCGGCGCCGCGACTCAGTAGGCTAATCCTCCGCCTGCGGCACCGGCACCCCGGGTTCTAGTCCCGGTTGGGGCGCCGGATTCTGTCCCGGTTTCTCCTCTTCCAGTCCAGCTCTCTGCTGTGGCCAGGGAGTGCAGTGGAGGATGGCCCAAGTGCTTGGGCCCTGCACCCACATGGGAGACCAGGAGAAGCACCTGGCTCCTGGCTTCGGATCAGAGCAGTGCGCCGGCCACAGCGCGCCAGCCGCGGCGGCCATTGGAGGGTGAACCAACGGCAAAGGAAGACCTTTCTCTCTGTCTCTCTCTCACTGTCCACTCTGCCTGTAAAAAAAAAAAAATCTATAGGAGGCTTAACAGAGAAAACCAAAATTGAGACATGAATACTAACATTCTATGCCATCAACATGAAACTAAGTTATTTGTCTGATTTAGGAGTGAAAGAGATAATAGCTAAATCCCCAAATGAAGTAGACAGGCATATAGGCTAAAATTGATTAGGTTTGTGAGCTGGAAGACCACGCCTTTGCCACGCCCCTGTGTGACCTCATGCCCCTACCTGGCCACACCTGGGTGCCCACCAGCCAATCAGGTTAATTAACCACTCCCCTTTGGAAGTGGGTTAAAAGCCTGGTACAGAGTGTGTCCAGCCCCTTCTCTTCTCCCTGGCCTCTTGCCAGGAGGGGGCTTGCTGTAGCCCTGCTCCAAAGGCCACACGCCCTAGGCTTCCTGGCCTAGATTCTCCTCCACGTAACTGGTTCCTGGTGTTCGGTATGAACCCAGATTTACCTCTCTCTTACTAGAGCCCTCACTCTCCTATGCATCTTTCTCACTAAATAAAGGCTTAAAATGTACCATGCTGCCTCCTTTATCTGTGCCGGTATTTAGAATTCTTCTCTAAATATTAGGCAAGAACCTTCTCAGGCTTATTAATAGTGGGGATTTATTAATAAGCATATGGTGAAATTGTATGGCACCCCAGATTCCAGTAACATATGTGGCATCCCAGATGGCGCTTCTGGGGAACTTTAAGGGGCCACATTTTTGATACAGATTTTAGGGATTAACCTCTGATATTACAAACAGGCCTGTTAAAGCCAGCATGATAAGGAAGTCCTTTCTGCTTTAACTTTTATAAAGAAAATAACTTTGAAATCACCAATTCACTTTTTTTTTTTTTGCCATAGCCTCTTTCTGTCTAAAAAACCAGCCTGCTCTCCTGTGCCCAATGTACCAGAACACTCCTATTTTGTGGAAAGAGATGTTGCCTGATTCTAGAATTTCAAATAAAAGCAATTAAGATCTTTTAAATGTCTTAAAAAGTGTATTTTAACCAAACATTTACCAGTGTATCTAAACAGGTAGCATGCACACATTCACCAAGGGAGCAGAAATTTTAGAAAGAAACTGATTCATGAACATTTGAAAAGTTTCAAATTTTTGTCTTGATGATATCATTTTGTATTCCCTAGAAGGGTACCTGTTCCACATAGAGAAACACTTTTGAGTCTCTGTCTCTAAACTTTTCCCCCTACCCAACTTGATCTCAATTGGTTTTGAAAAATCAGTGTTAAGGCCAGAATTGTTTAAAGAAAAAAAAAAGTTTTTAATGCACAAGAGGTCTTCAAAAAGTTCACAAAGAATCGATATTATGGGGGCTGGCATTGTGGTGCAGCTGGTTAAGCTGCCACCTGCAACATCAGCACCCCATATGGGCATCAGTTAGTGTCCCAGCTGCTCCACTCCCAATCCATCTCCCTGCTAATGCTGGGAAAAACAGCAGAAGATGGCCCAAGTGTTTGGGTCCCTGCTACCCATGTGGAAGACCCAGATGAAGGTCCTGGCTCCTGGCTCCTGGCTCCTAGCTCCTGGCTTTGGCTTGGTACACAGCCCTGACCATTGCAGCCATCTAGGGAGTGAAGCAGCAGATGAAAGATCTTTCCACCTCTCCCTCTCTCCTTCTAGATCTGACTTGTTTTTAAGAAAGTTTTTATTTAATAAATACAAATTTCATAGGTACAGCTTCAGGAATATAGCGGTTCTTCCCCTCATACCTGCCCTTCCATCTGACTTTCAAATAAATAAATAAATCTTTTTAAAAAGAATTAATATTATGAAAACTATACATAGACTTCAAAATCTTTTGTAATAAAATAAAATTATCTTTTAATTCCATTTTCCGCAAACTTTTTGAAGTACCCTCCTACTTCAGTGGTATGGAGCAGGTGCTCAAAATAACACTGGCTTACATAGGACCCAATTTTAGTTCTCACATAAGTGAAACATGACAAGTTGCACTGGTTCTTAACTCAGATGGTCATGCCTGATTGCAAGGGAGGATGGGAAATGAAGTCTCTTCTGATGGTCACATGTCTGGCTACAATGAAAGAGTACTAGAGGAAGGTTGTTGGTAAATGACTTTCAGTCTATCACAATCACACATTTTGAAAACAGAGTCTCTGGATGCATGGTGGGTTATGCCACCACTTGCATATTGTCGTTACGTATTGGAGTACTGGTTTTAATCCCAGCTGTCCCTATTAATGCACCTGGCAAAACAATGGATGATGGTCCAGGTATCTGGGCCCTTGCCACCCATGTAGGAAATTGGAATAGAGGGCCAGGCTCCTGGCTTCTGCCTGGCACAGCCCCAACTGTTGTAACCATTTGTGGAGTGAACCACTGGATGGAAGATCTCTGTCTCTCCCTCTCTTGCTCTGTCACTCTTCCTTTCAAATA